CAAGAAAGGAGAGATGGCCCTCCTTACTCCAGTTCACCTGGTCAAGAAGAAAAAGCATTGTTTTTACAGGATTTTTCCATTGATAAAACTCTTTCACGTATTTTTATCTCACTTAGTTCTCAGAGCAACTATGTGAAATAAGCTGAAGGTTTCAAATTAATGGCCCTAGGGCCAAATGTGGCCCCAAAACTGTTTTATTTGACTCAAAATATTTCCAAATATTTTAATTAGATACTGTGATTTAGAAACCAAGGAATTTCTTATAAAAACCCAGATATCCAGGTTCTCCTGAAAGGTTGGAAGACCTTGACCAGGGACCCAGGAGTCCAGGTTGGAATTGCCAGGAGCTGCAAAGCCCTTGACCCCTTTAGACAGTCCATGAGCTTTACAGTTTACCACTTTCTGAACAGGCCAGAGTTTTCACCTTCTTGGCTCCAGCTAAAGACATGTGAGTTGCAGCTCTTCAGAGTCTGTGTCCCTCCCAAGATGACCCAGACTGAGGAGAACTCTACTCAAGGGCATTTCCTCTACTGTAGACGAGCCACGGCTTTCTAGCCATGCCATTGGACTTGAGCTCCCTGTGGAGAGCTCTGCTCAAAGACCGTTGTCTAGAAGCTGGCCCGAGTTCTCCGTGTAGCCATAGATAGACCACTTCCTGGTCACGGGGAGCCACTGTGATTCCATCAGAAGAGAGCCATCTGGAATTCAACCAGTGTTCTCCCAAGTGCTTGCAGAAAACTCTATCACAGGCTTTTTTCTCTCAAGGGGCACCAGATCCCTTTGGTTCTTCTCTACAAAGCCTGGAACTCAGTCAGCTATCCTGTGGGGTGGTAAGCGTCCAGGAACCAGATGATCCCTCCCACTCTCCAGTGAGAATTCTCATCAGAAGTCCCAGACTGTCTTCTCAGCAGCTTCCCATTAGAGCAATGGAGCAAAGAAGGTGTGAGCAAAACTCTGACGCTTCTGGCACCAATGGAAACCCGGACCTCCACTGGTCATAAACGTGAGAACAGGCGATCCGGACACGCCTGTCATCTGTTATCCTTGGCCATGGGCCAAATGTCAGCCCCTTCTGACAGCTAGCCTCTCACATACCATAATTAACTCCACACTTCTCTCCATTTTCTTCAGTCTTTCTTCTGGTCTTGAATCTCAGTGCTGTCCTTTCTCTATGGTCCCTGTAGCCCTGTTCCATGTAAACTTCTCAACTTCTTCAACCTGTCATTCATGGCCCTCACTCCCCCTCATTCACTGAAGGCTTGGAGCTTGGTTTACAGCTTCCTTCTCCATCCCAATTCCTCCTCCCCCACTCCCACCACGTGCACATTCCCTGCACCAAACCCCCCTCAAAGTTCCCTGAACTACTTCTTGCCAACAACCTGTACCTTTGCTAGAAATTATCTATACTTTCATCACCTCCCACCTGTTCACTAGTCTCAAAGAGCTGTATTTTCTCCTGTTCAAGAATAATCCTCCCAAATTCCTTCATGATTAGACTTCTGCTTTCTCCTCCCACATTGTTCACTAATGTCAACTCCTTTATCCCCACTCCCCTCCCCCCGCCAGGCACACACTGTATTTCAATCTTTCTCTACTGAATCCTTCCTCAGCCTGTTAAAATTCTCAGACTTATCCCTGTTTCAAAGTTCTCTGCTTTATCTACAGCCTTCCTCCAATGGTCAAAGGTCTCAAAAGAATTGTCCAAAATCACTAGCTCCACTTCTTTACTTCTCTTTCACACTTGTGTCTACTGCCAGCCTGATCTTGCCATCGCCACTCTGAAAATTCTCTTATCAAAAACAACGAAAGTCTCCTAATTTTCTTTGTTCTCTTCTCCTGACTTTCTGGAACCTTTCTGTTTTCTCTTTCTCACTTCTGTTTATTTGCCCAATTCTCTATGACCCGCCATTGCCCTCCTGGGTTCCTCTAAGGCTGGTATCTTTGAGGACACTCCGCCTCCCGACTTGATAACTTGACCAATGGTTTGCACTGCCTCTGTTGTGACTCTTCTGAAATTCCAGTCTGTGGCTTCTCGTGTCTGCCATGGCGAGGGGGGGTGAGGGAGAGGTTTCAATGCCTTTGCACTGACTAGAAGTTTAAACTCCTTGGCGTTATATTGATAACCCTCCAAAACAGTGCTCTTTCCTACATCTTCATCTTCTCTCTCTCAGCAGTAACCTTCCCCACGGCAACACACACCAAATTCCAGCCCTGCTGAGCTCCTGCCAGTTCACCTACCCACGATTTTTTCTCTCCCTTCCAAATGCTCCCTCTCTTAAAATATTGTGATTCAGTAAGTCTGGAGTGGGCCTGAAAGTCTGCATTTCTTACATGCTCCCAGGTGATGCTGGTGTCACTGTCCCAGACCTCACTTTTAGTAGCTTAGAATTTCTCTTTTCTAGAACTGATTTGTCTAAGCCAGTCACAGAAGGACTGCATGATGCCGCTTACATGAGGTATCTAAAAGAGTCAGACACATCAAAGCAGAGAGCAGAAGGTGGCTGCCAGGGGCTGGGGGAGGGGGAAATGGGGAGTTGCTATTCAACGGCACAGTTTCAATTGCGCAAGCTGATTAAGTTCTAGAGATATGCAGGACAACATTGTGCCTATAGTTAACACTACCATATTGTACACTTAAAAATTTTGTGAGGGTAAGTGTTTTTACCACACTTTAAAAAACTAAAATAAAATTGATTTACCTTTTATCTCAGATGCCTAAAATACCTTTCCTGTCGTTCAAATGACCTTAATGGAAAAAGTATGTCTATGTGAAAAATTTGGGGCTGGAGAGTAGAGGACGGAGATGGATAGTATGAAATGAAACAGGATGATGTAACAGGTTAACTTGGTGTCTATTCACATTCCTTAATTTATTTCATTTTAAGATAAATTCATGTACACCAGAGAATATTTATAAACTGGGAAAAAATAGACTCTCTCATAACCCCAGCACTCAGTATAATCCAGAGATTCGTTCATTCAACTATTCTTTGAGTGCCCTCTATGTGGCAGGAGTGCCCTCTACGTGGCAGGCATTGTGCAGGCTGTTGGACATAACTGCAAACAAGATAGACACAGTCCATGACTTGATGGCGTCTATCGTCTAGAGCAGGAGTCAGCAAATTACGGCCCATGGGCCGAATCCAGCGTGCTGTTTGGTGAATGTAGTTCGAGGAGAACACAGCCATGCCCATGCATTCACACAATCTCTGTGGCTGGTTTTATGCACAACCGAGCAGTTGCTGCAGTTGAGTAGTTCAACAAAGACCACGTGGACCAGAAATCCTGAAACAAATATTTACTATTCGGCCTTTTACAGAAAAAGGCTGCCAACCCCTGGTCTACAGGCAATTGATAACATTTTCTGTGTAAAGGACTTTTTGTCAGATTATACTTAGGTATTTAATGATGCGAACTGTTTTAAATTTCTCTTCCTAATTGTTGGTATATAAATACATTTGATTTTTGTATTGACTTTGTAGTCAATGAACTCCTTAATTCACATATTAATTTTAATTGTTTACCTGTTGATTTAGATATTGCTATAGTTATATCATATGTAAATAATTTTATTTTTCCCTTCTAATCTTTATGCCTTTCTTTTTTTAAAATATCTTTCATTTTTTTATTTATTGTGCTAGCTAGGACCACAAGCACACGTTAAACAGAAATTCTGATAGCCATATCCTGTCTCTTTCCTAATCTCATTTTATTTTTTAAATACAAAATTTTCATGGAATTACCTTCATATACTGTATTCAAGGAAGATATATTGGAATTGTTTTTTCACTAAATACTTTTCTGAATTTTCATATTACATGTGTTATAACCCAATCTTCTTACTTAATATAAGCATTGTCATTAAGTATTACATAATTAAATAGTCTTCTATCATGTTTTAATACCTACATGGTGTTCCATCATATGCCTAGAGCTTAATTCATTTAACCTATCTCCTAGTGGAGTTTCCTATTACCTGAGTCTGCGACAAATTAATCACCTTCCCATTCTCATTTTCCACAACTTCTCTTTATAGATGCTTTATATGTATCAGGGGCTGTTCTTGGCACTTTCTGGACCACAACGCCAAATAGCTCTCAGGAAGTTTACAGTTTGGTTTGAAGAGCCTGACACACAGGAAGAGCGCAGAGCAGAGCAAGGACAGCCGGCATCTTTTGGACAGAAAGGAGCTGGGAGAAGCGCAAGGTGAGCCTGGGGGGCGGGCGGGGATAGATCACGGGGGCTGCCAGCCGTGGGAAGGATTTGGGGTTTTATTCTGGGCGCAGCAGACAAGAAGCGGATGAACGACAGGATCCAACCTGCATTTTGAAGCGCTCTGGCTAACTCCTTTTCAGCCTTCAGCTCTGTAAACGTTCATCTCAGGACCCCTAACTGACCATGGCATTGATCCATCAGCTGAAACGTTACCTGTCCTCTTTGCCAGCCCACCCGCCTCACTCCAGGTGAGTCTCAAGATAACGGCGCAGCCCAATATGACGGGCTTCTCACCTTAAATCGCTGAAGAGCACGTAAAACTTATTAAAGCCTCCACCTTTCTCCTACCGCTTCCTCTCCTCTCAGCCCCGCCCTCAGCTCTTCCCCCAACTCAGTCCCGTCGCCCCCCGCCCCCCTCAGTTCCCCCGCCCCACCCCTCCCTCAGCCCTTTCCCTCGGCATCCCTTTGTCCCTTTTTATGCAGGAATAATCTCATCATTTTATAATTTAATCCTTGCTGTCATTTTGAATTTGTTTATCTGAGTGGGAAAGGAGGGGAGAGTAAGGCAGAAGGAAATGAGGACACAGATTTGCTGGAGAAGGTAGCAATGACTTTGGTTTGCTCTGAACATCACGTTAATTAATCTTAAATTAATACCCATGTGGCCATTCATTTTTTAAGTTAGAAACATGTTATATTCTTCAGTTTTACAATTTATCTTACAACATTTTTACAAATATTTTAAAGCAAAAAAATCTCCCTCTCCCTCTTAAAAAAAGAGAAAGTTATTTTTGACGATACCTTAAGGACACCCAAGCCAGACTCCACTTAAAATTTACGAGCATGAGTTTGAGCGCCTTTGTCCAGCGCTCCTCTGTGTTAAAGTGGGTTCTGATGGAATAGAAGGCGCCCCCGCCTCCAGGGTCTTCCATCAGGCCTTTGCTCACGTGAATCCTGTGGGGCAGGCAGAGACCCGACTCGCCTTTCTTGGCCTCTTTGTTGAAGTGCTGCAGGCAGTCCAGGAAAGCCACCATGGCCCGGTCAAACTTGTCCATGGCCCGGTCAAACTTGTCGTTCGGGAAAGCACCCTGCCGCCCGGTACAGAACAATGGCAGCTCAATGGAGTCATCTCTTACAGACTTCAGATAGGAATGGTCTCCGCAGGGCACGAGTCGATACCTCTGAAACTGCAGGCCGATGGTATTGGACAGGGCAAGGAGCAGCAGGGCTGTCTGTCCCCAGGCTGCATTAATCTCCTCCCAGCACACAGGGACACTGGGGAGGCAGCCCAGTCTGAAGTTATTGATGACGCCCACGGGGCCGCTATGCCCGATCTCAAACGTCACACTGAAGACATTGATTTTCTCCAGCCAGTCCAGCTGGGTCTGGGCATGCCGCAGCCGGTTCTCCACGCTCCTCAGCTCGTCATGAAGTTCCAGTTGTTGCCACTTCAGTTGACTATAGTCCCTCCAGAACTGCCTGTCGTGCTGGTCCAGCATCTCGGTCTCTGCCTGGGCTGCCTTCAGATCCGCTGCTGCTCTTTCTCGGTTCTTGTCCACCTCCTCCAGCTCCTGGACCAGCCTGGCCTCCTCCAGCTCCAAGCCCTTCAGCTCCTCCTGCAGTGTCTCCCTCTCATCCTCACTCATCCTCTCCCTGGTCTCCAGAAAGCGTTGGTAGTTCTCACTCTCAGATGCTGTGAGAACGAGTTGGCTGTCCAGCTGCAACAAAAGATTGTCAGTACAGTCCTCACACAGGGGCTGGTTCACAGCTTTTTCACTGGAGAGGATGTCAAAAATGTCCCTAGCAGCCTTCTGGATGCTATTGAGAGTTCTCACAGAGCTCAGCTTCCCAAGCAGGATGAAGTAGTTGGAACTGTCCCCGGACATCCTGCCATCGCCAGGGAGGGTCCTGCAAGAGGCACCATCCTGTAGCTCGTCACTATCTGTCTCCTCCCTGGAGGTAGGGCCTCCCTCCTGGGTTTCTCTTGGTGCCCCCTCAGCTGAGGCAAGCGCGGAAGCCGCAGATGCTTGGGTGGCGTCGAGGCCCGGGGTCTCCGTGGACTGATTCAGCTTCAGGGGCTGGTCGCAGCGCCAGCACATGAAGTGGATGGAGGACATGGCAGAGGGCTGACTCTCACCGTGATTCTGTTTCCTCTGCCTCCCCAGTTACTTAACCATTTATACCTTTTTAAGCTCCTGTAGAGGAGTGATTCTTTTAAAATGCATATCTCATCTTGTCACTCTCCTTCTTAAAACCCTGCCGTGGTACCCTCCTTAGATGCCTCCTTGAGCTCCTTTTAGACAAGTGAGTCTTTCTAAGAGGAGAATTTGATCATCTCACTGTCCTCCTTTAACATTTTCCAGGCGTGTCTTAAAAGTAATCTTTCTAAAACTAAAATCTGATCATGGCACTTCCCTCCTTAAAATGTTTAATGCCCTTATCTTACCTTAAGATAAAGTCCCATCATCTTAACCTGAGCCAAGGCCTCTGGACATCTCTCCAGCTTCTTCTTTCCCCGTGTCCTGCCACCCTCACCCATGGGCTCCTCCATGTTCCTGCAAACTAATGGCATTTCACTTCTTCCAACGTATCCTGTTATGCCCTCTGACCAGAACACTCTTCCCGCCCCTCCTTCCCTGGATAACGCCTATCCCTTCTTTTAGGGCTGAGTGAGGTGTCATTTGCTCGAGGAAGCCTTCCCCTACCACCAAATTTAGACTTTCTGCTCTGGTGACACTTATCCTTTATCACACAGTAATGTAATAGACACAATGGAAATGATATTTTTTAATTGACAAATAAAATCAAATAAAGTAGTTTGGAGGTATAGATTTTGCCATCAGCTTGGCCAAAGGGTGAGATAAACAGTTTCATAATTGACAAGATTAATACACCAAGCATTTGCATAACGTCGAAAAGCAAACTTACAAAAAACTTTACAAATATGTTGACTTCTGTCAGTCAACCACCTAGTTAAGCACATATGGTCCCCAGAGATACTGGCACTAAAACAAAAACGTTTTGATTTCTAACCTGCAGTTGTTGACCTGGTGGAGCAGAGCATAAAATAAACAAATGCAGAAGGACTCAATTTCTCAACCACAGAAGGGGTGGAAAGCCACAAGGCCTGTCTCTCCCAGGGTCCAGCAGGAGGCAGCGTGCCAGCCACACGCACCAGGCTGGCAGGGGGATGCTCCGCGTGCTTGGGGAAGGCAGGAACACTCCTGCAGATTCACTGGGGCCTGGCCCAGGACTCTATGCAGACAGGTGTGCTACACTGGAGTGCATGTTGAGGGACGTTGCTCTAGCAAGAAAATACACTTTCGGGGCCAGCCCAGTGGTGCAGGGTTTAAAGTTCGCATGTTCCGCTTTGGCGGCCTGGGGTTCGCTGGTTCGGATCCCAGGTGCAGACATGGCACCGCTCGGGGGGCCATGCAGTGGTAGGCGTCCCACATATAAAGTAGAGGAAGATGGGCACAGATGTTAGCTCAGGGCCAGTCTTCCTCAGGAAAAAAAGAAAAAGAGGAGGCTTGGCAGCAGATGTTAGCTCAGGGCTAATCTTCCTCAAAATAAAAAAGAAAGAAAGAAAATATACTTTCCACTGGCCACCCTTGGCTGCAGTTTTCAAACCTCAGTTAATCCATGTCACCATCATGGCTGAATTGGTAATTTACACCTGTTAAGTTACCACTTGGCCCTTCATGCAAGCTCTCACCAGTATCCTATCTGCACCTGAAACTTACTGGGAGGCGGGAAGCCCAGAAGCACACTGAGGTGAAGAGAGGTTAAGCAACTAGTCAAGAGTCCCTCTGGCCCTCAAGAGTGCTCTGAAATGCCCCTGAATTAATCAATATTAGGAGCGCCTTCTAGAATTTGACTTCAAAGCCCCCTACCCCTTCACAGGCAATTCTGTATTCCTCAGGACTTGCCAAGCGGGCCGAAGATAAAAGTCAACCCTACAATTAGCTGGAGACGATCAACCATTCAAACCACTGTTTGCTATGAATTTAGCAATAATGATTGCCCAGTGCTGCAAAGGGATGCGCGATACCTCTGAGATACACATCTCAGGGTGATGGTTGGGAGGGGGTTGCTACACAAAGTCTGCCTTTCCTCACCCTGACAAAGGGTTGGAGCTGCTTTCAATGTCATGGTCAGTTCTGAGACCTGCTTCATCCCTGGGAGTAGGATAGCAAAGTAAATTCACTGCTAATGGCTAAATCTCATTTTAATTACCCAAAGCCAAACAGATCCAAGCCACACCTGGCTTTGGGTTTGAACCAGCCCAGAGGGAGCCCTGGTGCCTTAACAGACTAAGGGAACACACTGGTGAAGGGGCGTGGGGATGGGCTCAGACTGGTTATCTAACACCTGAATAATGCCTCCAGGGTAATCGAGAATCCGCCTGGGGAGCCCTCCTTAGTGATGGAGTGGCTGGAACCAGCAGTGGCTCTCAGTTGGAAAAGAAATCTCTTCTTATTTCTAGAGATTTTCCCTCCAGTTCTTACCTCCTCATTCCAGGATCTCATTTGTGAGTCTTGAGAAGAGCCCCAAAGTGAGAACTGCATGTCTTGAAGTGTGTTTGGGGCAGGGGTTTTTCCCACTGACATCTTGCCAGCACCTAGATGAATTATCTTGTCCTCACTTCCCTTTCTAAACTTTGCCCATGTTCTTGGGCTTCTTTGCTGCAAACCTCCAGGAAAGACTTGCCTCTACTTATTGTTTACAATTCCTCTCTTCCCAGTCCCTCTTAAACCCACCCTGATTCAGCTTTATTCTCTGCACTCCGTAGAAACTCCTCTTATCAAGGTCACAGTTGCTATCTGCGTCGCTAAATTTAATCTCAGTGGAATGGGAAGCCAAGTCTTCAGCTAAAAGTGAGGATGGGGCAGAAGAGATGTGTGTTACAGTCACCTAAGAGAGTAGAGAGAATAGAGGAGACAAGTGGGATGACTCCTCTTAGTTGGAGAGGTTCACATGTGATTTGCTGTCATGAGTGGGGGTACATTTCTCTCCAGCCGCCATCACCAGCATGAGCGCTGCCAGGCATGCGAGACTAAAGCAGGGCGATGAGGCAGAAGAAGGTGCTAGTAGGGAGAGTTTAGGAAGGCAGATTCTGCAATGTGCACCAAAGGAAGGATGAGGTCGGGGTAGGGGGAGACAAGGAAAAGGTTGTGGGGCCGACGTACTTCCGTCCTGGGGGGTTGGAGGAATTGGGGTCAGGGTGTGAGGACGCCAGATAAGTAAACACAGGAGGCAGTCAGAGTGGGTGCATGAAACGGAGGTAACACAGCGTTTGCTCCCTATAATCATATGACCGTCTCTCCTCTCCCGATCCTGAACCAAACACCCTTCCTTTGGCTCCTCTGGGTGTGTGATACAGTATTCTGGACTCGCAGTCTTGGGTTCTAATCTTGCTTACTTAACCCCTTCGATGCACAGATTGAATTTGAGATTAAGAGGTTCCGTATCAAGAGGAGGCTCTGTCACTGTGTCCAGATCCCCACCAAACATGCCTTTAGCCTTCGCAATCTGGCATCTGTCTCCACAATTAGTAGGATAAAATGATTCCTGCTTAGGTCAGCAATGAACGCCTAAATAGCACATCCCGAAGCACGGCTTCCTCACTGGCTTTCGTTCTTTAACATTTGAGATGGCTGCCAGCCTCTCATTAAAAGAAGAAAACAAAATCCTTTTCTGGACTCCAGAGGATTGTTGCTTCTCACTCTCCTAGGTCTCTGACCTTTCTTTTCCACTTCATTGACTCTTCCCCCTTAGACTGAGAGACTCTGCATTTAACAAAACAAAAATTATCTTTCATATGGACACTGACCTTTTGTGAGGCTTGCAAAGTGTGAATAAAAGTTTCCTTTAAAAATTCAAGGCTTTGTACACCCAGTGTTCATAGAAATATTATTCAAAATAGTCAAATGGTAAAAGTAACCCAAATGCCCATCTGTGGATGAATGGATAAACCAATGTGGTATATCCATACAATGGAATATTGTTCAGCCTTAAAAAAGAAGGAAATTCTGACTCATGTAACAACATGAATGAACCCTGAGGGCGTTATATTAAGTGTACAAGCCAATCACAAAAGGACAAATATTCTATGATTCCACTTATATGAGGTACTTAAAGTAGTCAAATTCATAGAGACAGAGAGTAGAGGGGGCCGGCCCGGTGGCGCAGCAGTTAAGTTCGCACGTTCTGCTTCAGCGGCCTGGGGTTCACCCTTTGGATCCTGGGTGTGGACCTAGGCACAGCTTGTCAAGCCATGCTGTGGTAGGCGGCCCATGTAAAATAGAGGAAGATGGGCACAGATGTTAGCTCAGGGCTAGTCTTCCTCAGAAAAAAAGAGGAGGATTGGTGGCAGATGTTAACTCAGGGCTTATCTTCCTCAAAAAAGAAAAAAAGAAAGAAAGTAGAATAATGTCTGTCCGTGACTAGGGGGAGAGGGAACAAGGAGTGTGATATTGTGATTTATAATAAAAAAAATATATGTTTGGTCTTCCTCCCTGTTCCTGCCACAGAGCTCCTAAAACCCTCGGAATTTCCTAAGTGTTAAGAGGATCAAGGTGTCTTTTGTTATGTTAGTGGCGTGATTTTTGGAAAGCCCCTAGGTCATCTAAGGATGGCTGCTGGTTGCCAGGGGAACCAACCATGATTAGAGGGGCTGAAACTTTCACTCCCACCCCCTGACCTCCAGGGAAGGTCAATCACCAATGGCTAATGATTTAATCAATTATACCTATGTAATGAAGCCTTGGTAGAAAACCAAAAGGAAGGGGTTCAGAGATCTTCCACGTGGTGAACATGTGGAGGCGCTGGAGAGCGGCACTCAGAGAGCATGAGTGCTCCTCGCCCTTTCTGCATGCCTTCCACCTGGCTGTTCCTGAGTTATATCCTTTTATAATAAACCAGGGATCTAGTAAGTAAATGTTTTCCTGAGTTCCGTGAGCCACTTTAGCAAATTAATGGCACCAAGGAGGGGGTCGTAGGAACTTCTGATCTGTAGCCGGTCGGTCAGAGGCTCAGGTGACAACTTGCATTGCAGCATTGGCATCTGAAGTGGGGGGGGGGGGGGGGGGGGGGGGTGAGGTGAAGCACTGAAGGA